AGGGCATTCTGTATCCAATTGAAAGTGGCAGTGACGAATGGCTGCCATGGCAAAGAAGCGACGAATTAGAGTCATCTTGGCTACAGGAGAGAAAGTGTCACAATAATCAAGACCATAAACCTGAGTGTACCTTGGCAACAAGCCGAGTTTGAGCCGATCAATTCACCATCAGGGCCAACTTTAACTGAATACACCCATCGACAACCAACCGCCTTTTTTCCTGGGGGAAGGGGCACCCGCTCCCAAGTATTATGTGCTCAAGAGGCCTGCATTTCTGCAATCATAGCTTGTCGCCAATCCAGGATGATTAAGTGCTTCCCTTCACATCTTGGGTATAAACAACAGAGGCATGAGGATAAAAGAGAAAAATAGGTAGGGCGACAATCGCTCCATGATAGCTTAGAAAATTATAAATGGAGATGAGGGTTCCGAGTGGAAACGAGTCCTTTCTGAAGGGCAATAGGCCATGCTGAAATCCTTGGCACAGGAGGGCGTGGGAAGGAGGGGACGAGGGAGAAGAATCTGAAGTAGGAGATTTCACCATTGTCTTGGGGAGGTGGACTATCCAATTGAGGCCCATGTGTGGGATGATCTCAGTATGGGAGAAACGGTGTAGAAGGATTGTGATCAAGACTTGAATGATAGAGGACAGTGTGGAGCTATTGGACTCAGCCATTGGATAGGAAGGACTTGATGGAGCGATAGAAACATCCTAACAGCTGAGAGAGAAGTAAGGAGTCTGTTCAAAGAATGTGACATTGGCAGACATGTAATACTTCTTAGTTTCAGGAGAATAACACCGATATCCTTTTTGAAGTCGAGAATAGCCTAAGGAAGGACACACTTGAGAGCGCGAGCGGAGAGTTTGTCTAAACCTGGAGACATGTGTCATGAACAAAAACATACACAGCCAAACACAGGGGAGATGTCTGAAAGAGAGGATCATAGGAAACAAAATGGAGAAAGGGACTTATTATCAAGAGAGGAGGAGGCATCCTATTAATACAGATAACATGAAGTTAAGATGGCATCCCCCCAGTATGGACAGGAATATGGGCACCAAGCAAAAGGTACGAGCAATTTCAAACCAAGTGTCTATTTTTTCGTTCTGATATACCATTTGTTGGTGTATGAGGGACAAGTAGAATGATGTAAGATACCATGGGAACTCAAGATGGCAGAAAAGGAGGAGGAGAAATACTCTTTTGCATTATCAGTTATAATATTTTGATTACTTGGACCAAATTGATTCTTGATTTCATCACAAAGGATGCCTAAAGATAACTAACAATTCAGAACGATTTTCATAAGATAACCCAAGTACATCTTGAATATTCATCAAAAAGGTAACAAAATATCTAACACCAAAGGAGGAGTACGACTAGGTCCCCAATATCAGAATGGATGATGGAAAAACTAGAATTACAATTGATGAGACCTTTTAGAAAGGAAGACGCTAACATTTTTCCTAATTGAACATGACTCACATCGGAAAGATGAGACCACTAAGTTCAGGAACATTTTTTTAATTTGGACAAATGAGGAGGCCAAGTCGATCATGTAGCACTTTCGGATTAGGAGCAGCAACACAAGACACCCTTGGACGAATCCAACTGGTATAATCCGCCAGCTTCATATCCTTCTCCAATCTGTCTCCCCGAAACACGCTCCTGTATAAAAAAGGATTTATGATCAAAGGTTATTGAACAATTTAACATTTTATCAACTGGCTTAAGGAAATTAAATTAAAAGGATAGAATTAGGGACAAAAAGGACTGAGTTGAGATTGAGGGAGGGAGACAAAGAAACAATGACCGACTCCTTTGGAAGAAGTTTAGATCCATTGGGGCAAGGGTTATGAAATGAGGTTTTTCTCGAAAGGAAATAGATGAGAAACAAGAGCGGTATTACCAGCAAATGTGATCAGAGCACCTGAGTCAATTACCCATGATTTTAGAACATTCCATATATTGAGAAACGCAGGGCTGTTGATGTATGGGAATTGAGATGGTTGTGCCAAGCTGTTAGACTTTACCTTTAAATAACTTTGATATTCATCCTCAGAAAACCTAGAAGTGGAGGTTCGTTTTCGAAGTGGAAGTTTCAGGTCTTCGAAAATGGCGGTATTTGGAAGGGAACACCAGGTAAGGAGTAGCAATTCTCTTGGTATGACCATCCTTTTACAAATGTGCATTGAGTACGTCCCCAGACATCATAGTATCCTCTCTAGTTTATAATTTTAAAACATATAATGCCACGTCCCACCTCGTCCTTCATGTGGTCAACATGACAGATGGTCCACTAGTCTGCGCTTCTTGAGTTTGAGATACCGGGACAAGCAGAAGGCGAGTGGTGTGGTCAAGTTTCCATAGAGGGAACCTCATTGAATAGTTAGAAGTTGATCTCTGAGATGTCAAAATCGGGTGTAGGCGCCACGAAGGTCAACACATGTAAAATTTGTCTAGTTCTTTTTGATATCCTTAATGGATCTACTTCCAAAAACATCATACGTTCTTCGACAGCAGATTGGGTTCAGCCATGAAGGACACCCTATCATGGTCTGCCATTTTAGAGATGCAAGCTTGTTCGTGGTCATAGAGACGTTGATATCGTTGGCATAAATGCTTTGGGCTTCTGCCAAAAGGAGTGAAAAAGTATTTGAAAGCACTCAAGATACAAGAAGTGGGTTCCACTGATTGCCATAACAGGGATACACAACTGGAAATCTGCTTGGTTCCACTGATCAGCTTGTTCAGTAGGAACAGGGCTTCCATCTCGCTCAAGGTGGTCATAAATGCCCTTGGCACAAGGAACCACAATTTCAACAGCAGCAGACCATGATAGATATTTTTTCCCATTTAGCTTCGCGGAGGTAATTGATGGACTTCCAGAGAGGAAAGAGTACGACCAACGCCTCTCTGAGAAGACAAAATATGTACTAGCGAGGAACAAAAAAAACCCTAGGGTTTGACGAAGGAAACTGTGACAGTGATGGACGACGGTGGCCGGCAACGGCGGGCGGTGAACGGCGGCCGGCGACGGACGACGGTGGCCGGCGGAGACGGTGGCCGGACGGTGGCCGGCGACGGTGACCGGCGGTTGACGGTGGCCGGACGGTGGCCGGCGGCGGCGACGGTGACCGGCGGTTGACGGTGGCCGGCGGCGGGGCGGCGACGGTGACCGGCGGTGGACGGTGGCCGGCGGCGGGCAGCGGCGGGCGACGAAGAAATATGGCGCCGGACAGATAATATATTACGAGACAGAAACCAGAGCGGGATCGACCCGCTCTGATACCTAACTTAAGATTGATGAAAAGAAATAATTCTTGAGGGCTTGATTGATCCTCTCACAATCTTCTATTTATAAGAAGAAATTGAATACACAAAGGACATGATAAATAGGGTAACCCGAGACACCAATATAATCATGATAAATAGGGTAAATCTAGACACAATATAATCATGATAAATAGGGGTAACCCTTGACACACTATATGATGATAAAATAGGATAAATATCCTAACAATACTCTTTAGCATTCATGATATTTATACTATCTTTTATCATTTTTATAGTTGTGGCTGAAATAAATAATTGAAAGTGATGAACAAAATTATAAATAGTACTTATATTTATTACTGTGGTACATAGAAATACTAACTAATTTAAAATATTTTATATTTTATGCTTCAAATGTAAAGCACAAATTTTTCATGACTATCATTTTTAATTCTTTAATTTTCCAAACTTGTCATTATTGTCTTTTTCATAAAACCTAGAACTATGTAAACTAAAATTTGTATCAGAAAATTCTCATATTAAGATATTTCTGGTTAAACGACATTGGGCTAATGTTGATCCAATATTGCTGCTTTAGCTTTTATACCCACCTTGGTTTACTTGTTGGCATCCTGTATCACCAACTGACCTGTTGGAATTTTATTAAGCTAAGAATCTTGTTTGAGATTTTGAGTGGATTTCCATACATAAGATGCCTTTTAATAGTTTGAATTTTGTTTGAAAAAGTTGTTTGGAGTACAGTTAGCTAGGTACATGTTTGCTTTTGGACGTGGCAAAAGATTTTTGTTTGGAGTTCACAAATTTCAACTCTATAATTTGTCAAAAGTAATTGGCTTAGGTGTACAATTATCAAGATTTCTGTAACAGGTTACCTTGTGGAATAATTGTCTCATTTTATTCTCTTTCAGTCTTTGGCAAAAGATGCTCGCTTTGAACAAATATGGAAAAGAAGGAAGGGAAACAAAGGGACAGAGTCAACACATGATAAAGAATTACAAGAAATATGCAACTTCTATGACATTGTTCGCGTTGACAATGAAGAGAAAAAGAAGGAAGTGCAACAGCAGTAAGTATTTCCATCAGAATGTTGTTAATTGTAGTAAGCAAAAAATCTGCCATAAAATTATGTCAGACGGAAAATTGGCCTATAATGGAAGCATGTTAGCTACAATAAAATTATAATAAGATGAATTGGGAATAGGAATGCCCATATTACGACCTGGGAATTGTAAGATTCATGATCAATAATAAAACATAACTCTAAGAAGAATTTAACATAAAGAAACATATACAAATCAATACACACAAGTTAAATAGCTAGCTAAGTGACATAGGTTTTAAATTATTTTTTATTTAGCTTCCAAATTTTCTTGATTAAATTTGGACATAATACCTGATTATACTAAATCCAGAGTTTGCTCTTTCTCTGTATATTGATTATGTGAAGGTAATATGGATGTCTGTCCTTCAATGGAGTGACAATGTTAGGAGTCCCACATTAAGTAGGATGAGCTATTTGATGCAGTATTAAACCCTGGAGACTCACCCACCTAATGGTTTAGTATTTTAGATTGGACTCTCCCATTGCACTTCAGTCCAAACAGAAACGTATTCATGCTGTCGCCTTTACTTGCACGCTGTCTTATTGAATTTTTGCCATGCTTTGCCGTACTGCTTGGCTACCATTTAACAAAACTGTTTCATCAGAATTTTTGTTTTCATATATTTGGACAACTATCATAAAAAACAACGTTTCATGTGATTAATGCAGAGAAATCTCATTGGAGGATCAAAGACTTCTGTCTAGTTACCTTCCTTTACTGAGAGAATTTATTCCTAATGCGGCTGAAGAGGTTGAAGCCGATTTGATTGCTCATTTGAGTGGTCATTCCAAAGGAGGTGGTTATTTTATTGAGTTGCTAAATACACAATTAAAATATTACTGATTCTGCTACTTTTTGCCGAATGCGCACTTATTCTTTTTTTAAATAACTGACAGATGAGTGAAAACAAACACATTTTTCTTATTCTTGTTGATTATAGAAAAAAAATGTCTTAGTTATTTTGTGGCATTGTCCACACTTCAGGTAGTTGCTTTGTATGCAGTATTTGCTGACCGTTTTTCTTGTTTATATGGTTTCAATTTAATTGGTTGTGGTACATTTTCTTTTGTGACGTACTCCAGAGAATTATGTGTATGACCTATACACTGTGACGGATGAGATGGATATAAACCCAGAAGATACTTTAGCTTCTTATCCACTGTGAGTGTTTTGTCATTATGTTCAAATGGGTTTTTTTTTTGTCTTGCTTCTTGACACTGTTTATTTTGGCTCAGTGTTCAAGTTGAGGAGGAGGAGGACTATTATGATGGCCCAGATGATTCAGATTATGAATCTGATGACTCAAATGGTATTCGCTAGTCTACCTACCTTTTCACCTCATTACCCTTCAAAGCGTAATCACATACGGCTAAACATTTCATTACTTTTGTTGGTTATAGCTGAAAACAATCCATTGAATGATTATCCGGATGAGATTTCTGAAGAGGATGAAGAAGAGGTTGAAGATTCCGAGAGTGAATCAGAAGGTGTAAATGGCGATGCTAGTAACGAATCATCAAACGAGGATACAGAACATCATGGTTTTTCCAAAGATGATGCTGATCCATATGATGAGGATTTTGATGAGTATGAAGGTGTTTGTAATGATGAAGATGAAGATTGGAGGTGGTCGTGCCGATGAAGTTGACTTTGTTTTATTTTGCTGTTTGATTTTGTTGAAGGAACGAAAATGTTGATGTTGATGTTATATCTATGGGGTGGGGTTAAAGTTTTGAACAAAATCAAACTTGTGCAGCGGCCGTCGAACTAGATATTATTAAAGTGTAATGCAAAGTAGAAACTTTTAAAATAGAAGAATTGAAATCTAATACAAATTCTAAGATAAGAAAAAGAAAATCAAGAGTATTTTACATAGATAAAAATTTAGAACATATTCTAGAATAATTTATGGATCTATAAATATTCATGAATTTTACTATTTGATGAAATATAACATCTATCACAATTAAAGATAATTACAACATTTCTTCCAATTAATATTTTCATATTTCATTATCCTCACATTTTCTTTACATTATATTATTTTTACATTTTTTTATTCCATCAACTGTTTCTTTCACAATCTCAAAATACTAATAGTGGTATTAGAGGTATGTTCGGTCATAGAAAAAAATTTCAACTACCTCAAACAAAACTATAACTCCATTCTATACTACTTCTAAAATATTTTTTCATCTCATGGCTACTACTAATCAAACATCATCAATTCCAGTACCTATTTTCTTAAAAAAAAGTTATGATTTTTTGAGTATCAAAATTAAGATATTCTTCTGCTCTCAATATTTATAGGACATTATAGAGGAGAGAATCGTTATTCCAGAAGACATCTTCACTCTTCTTACCGTTCAAAAGGAGTTGAAGAAAAACAAGCAGAAGGATTCAAGAGCTTTATTTGCTCTTCAAGAAGCAGTTGATGACATAAGTTTTTCAAGGATAATTGCTGCCACTAGTTTAAAAGCAAGCTTGAACATAATACAAGAGAAGTTTCAAGGAAGTGATGAGGTATGCAATGTTAAACTTCATTCTCTAAAATGAGAGTTTAAATTAATAAGAATGAAAGAATATGAGACCATTAAAGATTATTATTCTAGAATAAAAGAAATAGTTAGTAAGATGAGAGCCTATGGAAAAAATATTCTTGACAAAAAAAATCATTGAGAAAATTTTAATTTCTATTCCCCAAAAATATGATGCAATCACAACTGCGATTGAATAAACAAAAGATTTAGCTACATTGTCAATAACACAACTAATGGGTTGTCTTAAAGCTTATAAACAAAGATTGAAAAAGCATGAAGAAGACTGGATTGAAAATGCCTTTTAATTAAAACTGAAATTATGGTCTAAAAATAAATAATATGAAGGAAATAAAAGTAGAGAAGAAATTTCTATAAATAGAGGAAATTCTAGAAACTTCTGTTACCAATAAGGAGTATTGGTAAATCTTGAAGAAATTTGTTTTGAT